TGGCTATTCTCTTACACATTCATGGAAACCAAACGTCATGACCAACATCAAGGAATCCACTACCATTAAAACATCAATATTAGCATTCATGGATGATACCTTGTGGATCGCAAAATCATGGGAGGATTTGGACCATATCATACATATAGCGGATAGCTTCTATCAACTCAATTCTATTAAAGTGAATTGGGAAAAATCTGTTTTACTCACAAATCGTAACGATAATAATAACGTATTTACTTGCATTATCAATGGTACTCCTACTGTAATTCCTCCGCTCTCACTCAACGAATCTACAAGATACTTAGGGATTTGGATATCACTCAGGCGTAATAAAACCTTCACCCACAAATTGGTCAAAAGTGAAATAAAAAATGCTGTCACAATAATGTTCAAAAAATGGCTCACTGATAAATAGCTCACATATATATTCAATACTGTTCTTGTTCCGAGGATCGAATATAGAGCACAATTAATGGCATTCACTGACTAACAATGTTACCAAATCATTTCTCCTTACAGATCATTTATGAAAAAGAAGCTATGATTAACGCGTTCCACATCTCACACAATTCTGCATTCACATTTGTTTTATAATCTTACCAATATACATCACTGATTATTTGCTGCGCATAGCAAAGGTCTCCTTTTCGCTATTAATGATAATAATCTTTTGGGTATTTCTACCAAACATAGACTCAAACAACTCCAACAAAAAGAATGGTTAGCTAGTTTTTCGCTATTATGTTAGCCTTACACTACCCCTTCAAAAGATTCGGATTGGTTAGCTAATGTTTTATGTGAATGGAACAAATCTGTAATCACAGTTCAAGTACCAACAACTTTTCATAACATCATCAAAGGAGGAAATATTCCATTAAACACAATATTTCCCGAATGATACAAAAAATTTGCTGCTGATCTAAGAAAATATTCGTTACTGTTTTTGGAACAGCTTTCCTATTCGCATAGTCGATCTATGCTTACTTTTGCCAACTTCTCAGTATATCAAAACACCCCACACATAGGAAAAATACCAGCATGATTCACAAAGCTACAAAAATTACTCTCAAATCCTATTTCAAGTGAATTAAGTCAAAAGGTTCTACATTTGAAAGAATGTTATTTTGATTTCGCGCAATCAAACAAGATTCCTGGCAAACAATCTTTTATTGTGGGTTGGAATTTGGGCAATAATCAACCTATTATTGGAAAACTT